ATAACCATAAGAAAAAAAACAACCCCTGTTGCCCACTGCATTCCTGGTCTGTTTGGCGCCAAGTTTGTTTGTCGCACGAGCTTTTCTTTTTTATATACTTATGTATTTTTACAGTTTTTTTATTCTTTTTTTTTTTTAATTTATTAACCCCGCTTTTTTTCTTCATTGTGTCAGAGGCGTGACGCCTTCTACATTAAAAGTGATCAAGACGGATGGGGGGGTTCATTGGTAAGGTTTGTGGGGTGGAAAAGATAGAAGTAATAGTTGAGAAAGAGAGGGTGACGTGTTAGATTGAATGAAAGCGAGAAAGAAAGAAAAAGAAAAAAAAATGAGAATTAATATTCCCGGTTTCGTTTCGTTGTAGTTACACAGGTACCGGACGTAGTAGATGAAGATCCGAAAAATGATCTTGTTTTGAATGCTTCTTTGAAATAAGGAAGATTTCCACCCGTAAACATTTCGCTTTCATTCGGAGCCATTGTTTACTTTTAAAATGATATATAATGGTACAACTTCATTCATTTTTCATTCATTTCTTTTTTTCATTCTTTAATATTTTATTTTATTTCCGTTTGCTTCCTTTGTTTTTCTTCAAATATCAAATATCGCTTTCATTCATTTTCATATTTCTTTCTTTTCTGATTGACTTATTTATTTATTTTTTCTTTCTGTCGCTTCAAATTTTCTTTCGTTTTCTTTCTTTCATCTTCTATTTTTTCTTTGTTGCTATGATCTTCTTCATTCTTTCTTTCACTCTGCTCCTTATTTTTCTTTCTTATTTTTTTATTCCTGTTTGTTTTTCTCTCTTTCTTTCTTTCTTTCTTTCTTTCTTTCTTTCTTTCATTCTTTCTTTTTTTGCATCTTTCTATCTTTCTTTCCGTTATTTCTTTTGCTTTCTTTCTTTTGTTGTTAATCGCGCTTTTCCTTTAAAATCTTCTTTCTTTTTCTTTCTTTCTTTCTTTCTTTCTTTCTTTCTTTCTTTCTTTCTTTCTTTCTTTTTTCATGTTTCACTTTGGCTCTCGACTTTCTTTCGTTCTTTTTTCTTTCTTTCTTTTTCCACTTTTACCTTCTCTAAATTCGTTATCTCCCTTATCCCTCTTACCCCATCATATTTCTTTCTTTCTTTCTTTCTTTCTTTCTTTCTTTCTTTCTTTCTTTCTCCATTTTTACCTTTTTTAAAGTCGTTATTCCTCATTATCCTATTTAATTTTCTTTCTTTCTTTCTTTCTTTCTTTCTTTCTTTCTTTCTTTCTTTCTTTCTTTCTTTCACTTTTACCTTCTTTAAAGTCATTAGTCCTCCTCACCCTCTTATTTAATTTACTTTCTTTTTTTCTTTCTTTCGTTTTACGCTTTTACCCTCTTATTTCCTTTTTTATTTTCTTTCTTTCTTTCTTTCTTTCTTTCTTTCTTTCTTTCTTTCTTTCTTCCGTTGTTTTCACCTTTATTTTTCTCGTTGTTATTTCCCTTTTTGTCTTTTTTTTGCTTCATTTATTTGTTTGCTTGTTAATTTTAACGCCCCAAAACAAAACTATTAATCATGTGTGGATCCCTTTCAGCCTTCCATCAACATGGCTGATGCTAACTTCCAGGAGAGTGTGATCGTTTCGCCTTCTCAGGTTAACATTCTCGGTTGATATGTAGTGGAAAGACTCTATTGAAACCATTGCTAGGTCAGCTGCTAAGAATTTTGGTTCACTTTATCGTGCAAGACAATTTTTCTCTCCAGAATCTATCTTACATATCTATAGGCCTGCTATTCATCCATGCTTAGAATATTGCTGCCACTTATGGTCCGGTGTTCCGAATAATAATTTAGAGATTCCTAATGAAATTAAAAAAAAAAAAAGAATCAGCAATATTATTGGTCCTGACCTGGCGTCTCGGCTTCAGTCACTTTCCCACCACCGTAAAGTTGCTTCCTTGTGCTTTATATATATATATATATATATATATATATATAAAAACTTTTATGGTAATTATTCCGATGAGCTCTTTTCTATGCTATGTAAATAGATTTATATTCATATTGTAAATACTCATTGTTGTTTTATTCCACCCACCCCCACTACAGACAATGAATTGTATATATGGAGACTAGTTAGGATTTTCATAGAGACAGTGAGGTATTATAGTGAATGGAGTAAGAAAGGTAAGTAAGAATGTATTGTTTGGGTGTTAGGAATATTGTGATATGTGTGTTTATGGCTAGCTAAGTTTAAAGTTTAAACAGATGAAGAACGTCCTTTTCCACATTTATGGCCTTGTGCCACATTTTCTGTATTTAAGCGGAAATAAATATCGCTCTTCTCTATGCTACTCACTGGGGCTAGTTTTTTGTGTTGTTGTTTTATTCCCTTTCTCCCACAGACAATGAAATGTTCATAAGGGGACTATTTAGAACTTTCAAAGAGACAATGAGGTATTATGGTGACTGTAGTAAGAAAGGTAGGTAAGAATGCGTTGTTTTGTTACAAGGAATATTGCTGTATGTTTGGGTCAGTGTTTGTGGCTAGTTTAATCGTGCCACATTTGTATTTTTTACGTATAAATATCACACTTCGCTGTGCTACTTAGACTTTATAAATTTAATCGCAGTACTTGATTGGCGTCGAGGTTTCATCGATTTAAGGTTGAATTGGCAAGATTTAATCGCAAATTCTATGCTAACAGTTTCTTTTCTCGCACTTCTTGCTTGGGGAACTCTCTTCCGATTCCATGCTTTCCAGCCAAATTTTAATAATAATAATAATAATAATGATAATAATAATAATAATAATAATAATCTAAAATATGACACATGGGAACATCAACAATCCCTGTTGTAGTTGGAGCTCTCGGATTGATTCCAGTGGACTGATTGAAGGAATTCCTGATAGCCCATGCCTTAAAGAAATATATAAAAAAATTGTTCTCAGGAGTACATTCTCACCCATTACGAAGGGCTTTATCTCTGTAAAATATGTGTTGTTCTTTTTTTTTAATTGGTTAATGGAAAGTGTCAAGGTAACATTTCCGACTTTAGGTCGGGACCCAGAAAGATATCTATGCACAAAATAATAATAATAATAATAATAAAAGCTTCTCACTTGCTATCGCATGCATCATCCCAAAGCTGATGTCGATCGTCTGTATGTGCCCAGATCTGAAGGAGGCAGAGGATTAGTTCAACTAGAACTGTCCTACAAAGCTAAAACAATTGGCCTCCAAAGATACTTGGAAACTACAGAAGACTGGATGATGGTATGCGTCAAGGAACATGAAAGTAGTAAGACGAATGCAACCGACCAGCTACAGAAGCGATGGCAAGATAAACCGCTTCATGGCCAATGCTCTGCCCGTTCCAAACAAGCTGACGTAGACAAAACCCGTACCCATCAGTGGCTACGTAGTGCAGGGTTGAAAGCGGAACCTGAAGGTTTTATCCTTGCTGCGCAGGACCAATGCTTGCTAACTAGGAATTATCAAGCACATATACTAAAATATTGTGTCAGCCCAAAATGCAGATTCTGTGATAAATATCCAGAAACAATTGATCATCGTGTATCAGGTTGCACAATGTTGGCACCCACTGAATATAAAACCCAACATGACAGAGTGGGCCAATATCTGCACTGGAAAATCTGCAACTTCTACGGGAAAGAAACTGGTATGAACACCAACCAGACCCGGTTACGGAGATAGGACCTGTTACAATTCTATGGGATTACACAATACACACTGACAGAACAATCAAGGCCAACTGGCCAGATATTGTTATTAAAGACCACAAACAAAAACGGTACATCTTTATTGACATGGCAGTCCTTGCTGACTGCAATGTATCTTTGAAGATATTCAAAAAGTTGTCAAAATACAAGGACCTTGAAATAGAAATCTCGAAAATCTGGCATATGGGAACATCAACAATCCCTGTTGTAGTTGGAGCCTTAGGACTGGTTGGAAAAGATTGCAGTAGACTAATTGAAGGGATTCCTGGAAGTCCATGCCCCAAGGAGATACAAAAAATTGTTCTGACAAGTACAACCCACACTTTACGAAGGGCTTTATCTATGTATTTTTTTTTTGTCAGTGGGAAGTGTCATGATGCCATTTCTAACCTTAGGTCCCTGGGCGGGACCCGGAAAGAAATGTGTAAACGTCAGAAATCAAAGAAAATAATAATAATAATAATAATAATAATAATAATAATAATAATAATAATAAAGAAAAGTGTAAAAAGCAACAATAATAAATGAATAATAGTAATAATGCCCATTTAATTCCATAATACTTTTATACATCTATTTATATATATATATATATATATATTTGGTTGGATAGATGTGAGTTTGTGACCCTGGGTTTCACGCTTTAGCGATCGTCAGACAAAGTCAGAGTTTGTCTGACGATCGCTAAAGCGTGAAACCCAGGGTCACAAACTCACATCTATCCAACCAAATATGTTAGCTCTATCTCTGATATTGAGCGCTTTCTAATAAGTACCAAGGCATATAATATATAAATAATTATACATATATATATATTTATTTATATTTATATTCACTTTTCACATATATATATATATATATATATATGTGAATAAAATCTATATATATATATATATATATATATATATATATATAGATTTTATGCCAAATTTGAATACATCTATTTATATATATATATATATATATATATATAGAGAGAGAGAGAGAGAGAGACGTATACAAATACATGTAAATATATGTATTTATATTATATATTTATA